AGGGTAGGTGGCTGCGACTGCAGCTTCATTCATGTGAGTGGCTGGGCTTATTAGTTTGGTGGTACCGGTCACTATTAGAGCTGCTGTCCGGATCTGTGAGGTATGGGTAAAAGGCGGGTGCGCCTGCTCTGCTCGGGCTGCGATCCGGTCCCAGAACGCTGCGCATAGCTTGTCAAAGTCTGCATTAAATTTGGCTTCCCAAGTTGTTGCAGGGTGTTCCCTTTCTCTGTCGGCCATGTTGGTTGCGGCCCAGGAGCGCGAGGCTGCGGCATTGCTTAATGTGACGTTCTCGGCTGCCTTTTCCTCAGCAGGGCCCGGGATGACCCCCACCAGAGGGGGCGGGGAACGGGTTGCTTGCTGTAGCCCTGCGGCCCCAGGATGGAGGATCGGCCGTTTCCTCCCTCATGAGTATCTCCGCGCAAATAGGCCTCAGAAGCAGCTTTGAGCCGCAGATCGGCAGGCGAGTCTGCTGAATCGTCTGAAAATGTTCCCCATCGTTTAGATACAGTGTGCACGCGTTGGCTGCTGTTTTGGGGTTAACATCCCGTTTTGTGCCTGGTTTGGCTTGTTTTGTGTTAGGAGCTCACCACTCACACGTCTGTCGGCCATTCTGGTCAGGCCCCGCCCCCAATAAAGTGTTTTTATACCTTTATTTACCAGGGGTTGGGGGGGGGGGGCGTGAGGGAAAAGGGAGGCAGGAGGAGGACTTAACTAGAGGAGGACTTAACCCTGCAAGGTAATTATTGCAGTTTATAAAAGGGCGGTGGGAGTTGGCACCCAGATCACTCTAATGTTCTGGGTGCCTGGAGTGTCCCTTTAACAAAATATATTACAAATCAGTTACATTCAAGCATAGTCAGGGCACAAAATGCTTTGGGCTAGATGATACCAGACCTAAATATAAAAAGTGTGTTATGAAATGTGATTTAAAGTACTAAAAGTGGGGCAATCACTACGGAAACCAGTAGAACCATCAGGCACATTGTACTGGTGATGTAATGGTGACTGCTCCAAGTTTGCACCACTTTCCAGAACAGACATTTTTTTATTGTTTCTGTATTTCAAGGGTTACGATAGGCACCATAACAAATTTAGCTTAATGAAGTAATTTGGTGTACAATCATACTCTCAGTCTAACTATTCAATTATCTGCCATTTATGAGTTAACTCACTTTGTTTATGCAGCACTAGTCACACCTCCCTGAACATGATCTAAATAGCCTGTCTACACATTTTGTGTGAAGAAAGCCCTAATGTTAAAAACAGTCTGTTTAATTTAGAATTTCTTATTTCCTACTCTGTTAACAGCGTGCAGGAGCCTCCTGTGTGTGATTAAAGTTAAATTAAATAAAACCTCCAAAGTAAATATAAAGTGCTGTCAGCTCTGAGTGTGAGTCACAGTCAGGTAAGTTTTGGCTAGGACTACATAAACAGAAACAAAACGAATTTAACCCTGGAGTCCGAGGTGCAGAGATGAATGCTCACCCTTGCAGATACACACAGCCCAGGGTGACCAGGCAATAAGCCATCTGGGCTGTGAATCTCTGCACGGGGGATTGACAGGAAAAGTGCTCCAATATGCAGTACAGACCACTGGTGGATCCGGGGGGCGGGCAACGGGGCAATTGACCCCCCCCCGAGATTCTCCCCTGCCAGCTAATGCAGGGCTGGCATTGTCCAAGTGCCAGCCCTGCAATGTGCCTGCGGCCCAGGGAGGGAGACAGGCACCGTGCGGGCAGCCGGCAGGGGAGGGAGGGAGAGAGCCTGATCCGCCAGTGGAGAGAGGACCCGGGACCTCAGCGTGCAGCTCCTCTGAGTCGGATTCTCGAGAGCACAGAGCTTTGCCGCGGTTACCACGGCAATGCTCCGGATCTCACGAGAGTTCACTCTAACCACTGGAACCACCAGGGATTCAACACCGGACCACCAGGGATCAAGAAATAAAATAAAAAAATAAAACATTATTAAAAAGCCTCCCTACCCTCCTTCTCCCCATACACACACTGCCCCACAAACACTGCCCTCCCATACACACACTGCCCCACAAACGCTGCCCTCCCATACACACACTGCCCTATATTCCAGCAGACCCCAGGTAAGTTGTCAAACTGTTCTTAAACAGTTTGACTACTTACTCTGGGATGGGATCCTGGCACTACTGGCACCATAACTACTACACTGAGTTGTAGTGCTTATTGTGCCTGGATTATTTCTTTAAATAATATACAAGTGAGCTTCCCGAGATAAGGCTCTGGATCCGCCACTGCTACAGGCAAGGGCACAAGCAAAGGATTGTCGAGGGGTAGCCGTGGTCAGAGAATGCCAGAGGTCAGAATAAACGAGGAGGGGAGCCAAGATCAGAAGCCGGGGTCAGTATGGGGAACACAAAATCAGGAGACAAAAAAAACAGGAACCAAATACATCTACCAGAAACAATGAACTGACGTTGATTACAGGAAAAGGTGGAGAGTAAATACCCTGTTAACGAGTTTCTAACAAGGTAGTCCTAGGTAATCCTGAATGACAGTTGGCTAATTTTGACAGGTGAGTCTGGATAAGCATATAACCAGATTCCAGCCCTCAGTGCTGCAGGCAGGACAAGGCATGGTTGGAAATCAGGCTGAATAATGAGCTGAAGTGTAGCTCAAAGACAATACAACAGGGCCAGAGTAGAAAGAGAATACAGTTCAAGTCCCCCTAGACCACCTGGGGGTTGGCCACGCCTGGTTGCCAGTATGGCACGGTGTGAGCCATGACACTCCTAAAAGGCAGATAATTGACCAGTGAGAGTGCAGGGGCATGATCTATTCACAGGAACTGCTTCATTAAGTTAAAGTCGTGTTGGTGCTTAGATAATCCTTTTAATATTGTCAAAGAACAAAGACAAAATTACAAAATCTTGATCATTGAAAACATTCACGTATACATATAACAAACAGATGTTTAAGCTATATAGATGAAGGCGGCTCTCCATCCATTTACAGATAGGGTGGAAAAAGGATAAAGCAAGCAGACACGAGAAACAGGGTTTACTTACATGTAACTTTTTGTCAAAATTTTTAAAGCATTTTCTATATTTTGCATTAAAAGGTATTTGTTAAAATTTACCTAGTCTAGACTAACCCTTTAACAAGTTGAGCAAAAAAGCATTACATGTAAAAAAAAGTATCAATCGTCTTAGCCATTCTTGATCCATGCTTCTCCACCACCAATAACATAAGATGCCATTAGTTCACATTGACATAACTCAGTGCTACTTCACTCTTTCTGTGAGTCATTTTATTAATTTATTTTAAATCAGCATCCATTATTTGTAATATAGTTTATCTTCAAGGCACAATAGCACACATATGGGGGTACTGTGTTAAATTAACAACATTCTGGTAGAATAAAACTACACAAACTAATTAAGAAATGTAACCCATCTATAACGGCTTTAACATCTCAAATAGGATTATTTAAACAATTCCCAAATTCAATAAATAAAGTTGATAAAATAATTATAGGCCATATTCTGACTGCCGCCACATGTTCTTTACCCCGATATTGTAAATCCCCTACTTTACCTTCTATTACAGAGGTTCTGAATTTAGCATTTGAAAATAAACTATAACTATACTATATATAAATTGGCTCTTATAAAACCTTCACTATTATTAGACAAATTAAATTTTTTGGGGGAATGAATGGGAAGTCAATATGAAAAAAATGTATAATCTGTAAATATGGAATATAGATTTATGTAACAATTTCCATATTGTGTTACTATATACTTCTAAATGACATACTCAGAACATTTATTTCATGTTTTTTGTTTTTCTTGTTCAAACATATATTTTAGGTACAACTATATATGTATGTATGGATTATTTTATTTCCTCTTACCCTTACCCTGATTTAATACTTATTACTGATATTGCTTGTTAAAAAAAGATAAGTAAATTCTCTAATAAAATATATTTAATGGAAAAAAAATCTATTAAAATTTTCAATTGGATTTCAATTTAATAGGCTTTATGCAGTCAGTCATTGTTTCTGCATTTAGACAATCAGGTACGATTGTGATGTCACAGACCGGAAGACAGAAAACCCTACTCCTGCTGGTCCTACTACCATTTCACAGGCATTTTCATTGCAGTGAGATTATTTACAGAGACTATGAGTAACGCTATTTCTATATTTGAACATCCCCTGGTTTCATGGCTGTGGGGTACTCAACCCCCACCCAGGAATTCTACTAAAAGAGAATTCAAAAAACAGCCAAAGATCCAGCCTTCTACGGACAGGTAAGGGAATAGCTGCTACAGCTATCGTATTAGATAGGGTTATTAAAAGATGGTGGTCAGAGTAAGATAGAGATTGGAATAAAGGATGGTTTGTTAATAGGCATCATCTCTATAAATAACATAGCTTTCCTGTACATTTAATAGTGTCATCTTGAAATTAATGGGAGAAATATAAGGGTTAAAATACTTAAAATATAAATTTGTTTCATCTTTTAGTTACCGTAATTTTCATAACTGAGATTAAAAAATGTTCGAAAAATTAAAGTGTGTAACCTAGCCCATTTGTAGTGATTGACATTAAATAAATGGTGCTTAAAAAAAGTAAAATATATAGGATTTAATACAGGTGTTTTGAGACTCTGGTCAGACAGCACCATCCTTGGATGAAATGCAGGATGAAATTAGTCCGGACGTTTTACAAATCAAATATAATTATTTAACCATTACAATACGACCCAAATAATAATAATGCATAATATTTAATGGCTTCTTTTATCATCTCCTAAACACACTCAGTTATTCCAGAAATATATCATCCACTGTGTGAAATATGAAACTTCACCAATCACTTTTTCTTTCCTAAATAGGCTTAAAGCTGAGCCCCAGATATTACCCCAGGTATCACCTAATCTGGATGTTTGTCCAGATCCTGAGAAGGGTAAGAAATGGGAGCCATGGAAGCAGAAAGGTGGGCTTGTGAAAGAAACTCGAAAAATGTACCAACACGGCAGAAAGAGTCTTCGCTTTCCCCCTTCTGTTACATCTAAATTTGCAGAGCTTGATGAAAGGTAAATACTGTATGATCATAATAATCAATGGGGGGGAATCTTGTGCTTATTTTCTATTGTTGATGTTTTGTTTTAACAAATTCACATGTTAACCTCTAAACTGCTGTGAGAATTAGCCTGACCATTTTGTTTTTTGTGTTTTTCTTTAAAAGCTTTAGACGTACCTTTGTCAGCTATGGAATAGAACATAAGATTCCCGAAGCACCATACTATATTCGGGTGACTCCAACAAAAACCAACAAACTGAAGACGTCTGCTCGGCTACCTAGGTAAGCGTATCATGAGACACAGAATAACTGACCACAATGCTATTAGGACATCCAAATGAAACTGCAGTGTCCTCAGTAAGCCAATACCCTCACTGGCTGTCTGTCTACACAGAAAACCAATGAGAGTAGAACCACAGATATAGAAATATGTCACTGCTCTTTCTGAACCAACATCACAAATCAGTGGGGAGTGCTACGGCAACGTAACTTACTAAGCATTACCTAATTTCCATAAGGAATGCATTTTAAAATAAACAAAAGCTTTTATTGTACAAAAGAAACTATTTACTCAAATTGGAGTATCCAGAATGTATTATATGAAATATAAATGATCTGATAGTGTCACCATAAGTTGTGCGATGACTGACAGATACAAAGTGATAGGGTAGCTGACGGACCAAAGTGAGAGGATAGCTGAAAAGGAATTCTAGAGGTGACAAAATGGGCTGATGGATGGAGAGGGAGGACATGACACAATTGCTACAACCTTATTTTAGAGGATATATTTTTGTCAGACTTCTACAGAGAGCTAATTGGACAGCGGCTGCAGGTATCATATTAGATAGAGTTATTAGAAGATGGAGGTCAGAGTTCAATAGAGATTACAATAAAGGATGGTTTGTTAATGGGCATCATTTCTATAACTAGCCTAGCTTTTCTGTAGATTCAATAGTTTTATCATGAAAAGAATTGGAGTAATATAAGGGTTAAAATCCTTAAAATGTGAATATGAGTTTCATCTTTTAGTTATTCTTCATAACAGATGAGATGAAAAATGTATTAAAAAATGAATGTGTGTAGCTAGCCCATTTGTAGTGATTGAAATAAAATAAGCAGACATGGTATACGGGGTGCAAAAAAAAAAAAGTTAAATATTTAGGAATTAATAAAGGTTTTTGAGGCACCAGACAGCACCAACCAGGGATTAAATGCAGGATGAAATTAGTCCAGACATTTCACACGTCTTACACATCAAAGTGAATTAGTTGACCATTACAATACAACTCAAATAATAATAATGCATAATATATAATGGCTTATTTTATCATCTCCTAAACACACTTGGTTATTCCAAAAATAAGACATCGAATGTGTGAAATATGAAAGCTCACTAATCACTTTTTCTTTCCTAAATAGGCTACCTCTTAAAGCTGAGCCCCAGATATTGCCCCAGATATCATCTAATCTGGATGTTTGTCCAGATCCCGAGAAGGGTAAGAAATGGGAGCCACGGAAGCAGAAAGGTGGGCTTGTGGAAGTAACTCTAAAAAGTTACCAAGAAGGCATAAAGAGACTTCGCTTTCCCCCTTCTGTTACATCTAAATTTGCAGAGCTTGATGAAAGGTAAATACTGTATTATCACATTAATTAAAGGAGGAGAAATCTTTTGCTTTTTTTTCTATTGTTGATATTTTGTTTTAACAAAGTTACAATTTAACCTCTACGCTGGTTGCTGTAAGAATTAGACTGACCATTTTGTGTTTTGTGTTTTTCTTTAAAACCTTTAGACATACCTTTGTCAGCTTTGGAAAACAGGATAAGATTCCCGAAGTACCATACTATATTCGGGTGACTCCAACAAGAACCAACAAACTGAAGACGTCTGCTCGGCTACCTGGGTAAGTGTATCATGAGACACGGAATGATTGACCACAATGCTATTAGGACATCCAAATGAAACTGCAGTGTCCTCAGTAAGCCAATACCCTGGTTCCCTCACTGGCTGACTGTGTACACAGAAAACCAATGAGAGAAAAACCACAGATAGAGAAAGATGTCAATGCTCTTTCCGAACCAACATCACAATTCAGTGGGGAGTGCTACAGCAACATAACTTACTAAGCATTACCTAATTTCCATAAGGAATGCATTTCAAAATATACAGAAGCTTGTATAGTACAAAATAAACTACTGAAATTGCGGTAACCAGAATCGAATATATGAAACATAAATGATCTGATAGTGTCACTATAAGCTGTCACAAGTCTAGAAGACATTCTTTGTCATACGTCTACAGAGAGGTAAGTGGACAGTGGCTGCAGGTAACCTATTAGATAGGGTTATTAGAAGATGGAGGTCAGAGATGGGTCACAATATAACCAAAATACTAATGACTTATTTTATCATATCCTAAACACACTCAGTTATTCCAGAAACAAAACATCCAATGTGTGAAATATGAAACTTCACTAATCACTTTTTCTTTCCTAAATAGGCTACCTCTTAAAGCTGAGCCCCAGCTATTGCCCCAGGTATCACCTAATCTGGACGTTTGTCTAGATCCTGAGAAGGGTAAGAAATGTGAGCCATCAAAACAGAAAGGTGGGCTTGTTGAAGACATTCTAAAAAGTTACCAACAAGGCATAGAAAGACTTCGCTTTCCCCCTTCTGTTACATCTAAATTTGCAGAGCTTGATGAAAGGTAAATACTGTATTATCAAATTAATCAATGGAGGGAATCTTGTGCATTTTTCTATGGTTGATATTTTGTTTTAACAAATTTAAATTTTAACCTCTACGATGGGTGATATAAGAAGTAGACTGACCATTGTGTGTTTTGTGTTTTTCTTTAAAACCTTTAGACATACCTATGTCAGTTTTGGGAAACAGGATAAGATTCCCGAAGTACCATACTATATTCTGGTGACTCCAACAAAAACAAACAAACTAAAGAAGTCTGCTCGGCTACCTGGGTAAGTGTATCATGAGACACAGAATAACTGACCACAATGCTATTAGGACATCCAAATGAAACTGCAGTGTCCTCAGTAAGCCAATACCCTGGTTCCCTCACTGGCTGTCTGTGTCCACAGAAAACCAATGAGAGAAAAAACACAGACAGAGAAACATGCCAATTCTCTTTCTGAACCAACATCACAATTCAGTGGGGAGTGCTACAGCAACGTAACTTACTAAGCATTACCTAATTTCCATAAGGAATGCATTTCAAAATAAACAGAAGCTTTTATGGTACAAAAGAAACTATTTGCTGAAATTACTGTATCCAGAATGTATTATATGAAACATAAATGATCTGATAATGTCCCTTTAAGCTGTCACAAGTCTAGAGGACATTCTTTTTCATACGTATATAGAGAGGTAAGTGGACAGCGGCTGCAGGTATCATATTAGATAGGGTTATTGGAAGATGGAGGTCAGAGTTCAATAGAGATTAGAATAAAGGATGGTGTGTTCATGGGCATTACCTCTATAAATAACATAGCTTTCCTGTAGATGTATTAGTTTCATCAAATGTGTGAAATATGAAAGTTCACTAATCACTTTTTCATTCTTAAATAGGCTACCTCTTAAAGCTGAGCCCCAGATATTGCCCCAGATATCACCTAATCTGGATGTTTGTCCAAATCCCGAGAAGGGTAAGAAAGGGGAGCCATTGAAACAGAATGGTGGATTTGTGGAAGTAACTCTAAAAAGTTGCCAGCAAGGCACAAAGAGACTTCGCTTTCCCCCTTCTGATACATCTAAGTTTGCAGAGCTTGATGAAAGGTAAATCCTGTATTATCACATTAATCAAGGGGGGCCGGGGGGAAGGGGAGATTTTGTGCTTTTTCTATTGTTGTTTGTTTCAACAAACAGATTTTAACCTCTATGCTGAGTGCTGTAATAATTAGCCTGACCTTTTTGTTTTCTTTATGTTTTTCTTAGACATAATAACTATGTCGGATATGGAAAAGAGGAGAAGATTCCCGAAGTACCATACTATATTCGGGTGACTCCAACAAAAACCAGCAAACTAATGACATATGCTTGGCCACCTAGGTAAGTGTATTATGAAACACAGAATGGAAGACCCTATACATAAACATATACAAATAAAACTGCAGTGTCCTCAGTACATCAATACCCGGGTTCTCTCACTGGCTGTCTGTGTACAAAGAAAACCAGTGAGAGAAGAACCACAGAGCAAGTTGTCAATGCTGTATCTGAACCAACATCACAAATCAGTGGGGAGTTCTACGGCAACATGACTTTCCAGGCATTACCTAATTTCCATAAGATATGCATTTTTAAATAAACTGAAGCTTTAAGGGTAAAAAAAAATAAACTATTTAAATTACTGTAACAAGAATGTAATGTATGAAACATAAATGATCTGATAGTGTCAATGCAAGCTGTGCAATAATGACTGATAGATAATGAGTGTAAGGGTAGCCGACGGACCGAAAGTGAGAGGAAAGCTAAAGAGGAATAAAAAAAGTGACAAAATGGTCTGATGGATGGAAAGGGAGGAAAGGATAGAATTGTTACAACTTTATTTTAACTTTACCTATTTTAATTGCAGGGACCCAATCTTTTCTTCTAAGTTAAAACCTGCATTACTTCCAAAACAATTGATAACAACCAAAAAGGCTTCAAGCGTCCCAGAAAAGGAAGTAGACAAAAAAGAACCAGAAAAGGAAACAAATTATTGTGCAGAGTATTATAAGCAGAATATTATTCTACAGCCTGAAACTGTCACAAGTCTAGAAGATATTCCTTGTCCTTTGCTGCAGTCTGTGTCTCTAGAGCCTACAGCGGTTGTCACATGTTTAGAAAACAACAATTCTCTAGAATGCCCTGTTTGCACTATCGAACCTCATACAAATAGATTGACAGAGGATATGCCAGTGAACCTTAGTCACCCACAGTCCACTTTCACTTGTTCAACAAACACTACAAATCTAGATTCACAGAACCCAGTCACAGGTCATTGTCATTTGCTGCAGTCTATGTCTCTAGAGCCTACAAAAGTTGTCATGTGTTTAGAAGACAACAATTCTCTAGAATTCCCTGACTGTACGATCGAACTTCATACAAGTGGATTCACAGAGGAAGTGCCAGTGAATCCTGGTCAGTCACATTTCAATTTGGGTTGTCATCCTGAGTCTACAAATCTAGAATCTCGGGAGGCTGTCACAGTTCAAGAACAGGGTATTCTTCTAGAGGACCCAGTGTGTCCTGCCAAACCACATACTGGTGAAATGTTAGAGGAGCTGCCAGTAAAATCTGCCACTGTAATTTATCACTCTGAGACAACTTTGGATTCTCCCATCATTCAGCCAGAGGAGTTAGTTCTAATCAAGCAAGAGACCGCCCCTGAGCAGAAGCAAATTGAGAGAAAGAATAATCAGCCTGCATCATATAGAAGCCTGAGCAGTGACCATGAAGAGCAAGGATTGCCAGAAACAGAAGAAAAAGAACCACCTGGTAAGGCTGATGTGGTTCCAAAGCCAATTACAGAAAGCCAAGACCTTGCAGTACCTTCACCCCAAGATAAGTTTAATATGAAAGCAAAGGTTGAAAGGGTATGCTACGACAGGAATTTCTTACTACAATTCAAATCGATCACGCAGGAACCAAAGGACTTCTCTGAAATCTGTAAAATCCACCAAGGCATGGTTATTAGACCTCACCTTCGGCAACGATTGACTCGCAGGAATTGGACACCTCAATCTGCAAATTCCTGCCACCCTGCTAAGGGAAATAACAGATTGCCATCTGGAATGGGTCAAATGAGGTCTCAGCAAGCTCCTGCTAAAGAACCTCATAAGGTTATTCACCTCAGCGAGAATGTTAAACTGCAAACATCTGCCAAAGCTTGGAGACCTCCCATGAAAAGAGCAAACGAAGATCCCAGTAGAGTCAAGGCTGAAGAACTGTTTCGGAGAGTTCGCGGTATCCTGAATAAGATAACTCCTCAGACATTCGAGCACTTAATCCATCAGGTGAAGGACCTCTCCGTTAGCACAGAGTATCAGCTTAAAGGTATTGCTGAACTCATATTTGAAAAAGCAGTAGCAGAGCCTCATTTTGCAGTTATATATGCAAACATGTGCAACTGGCTAAAGATGCTTGAAGTCCCAACTGAAGAAAATCGTGAAGTGTGCATTACGTTCCGCAGGCTGCTGATAAGGCTCTGCCAGGTGGAGTTTGAGAGAGGTGAAAAGGGTGGTGAAAGAATTGAAGAACTAAAGAAAGAACTGGACGCTGCCAAATCACCTAATGAAAAGACTCGACTGAATGAGGAATTCAATGATGCATGTAATAGAGCACGCAGGCGATCCCTTGGAAACATCAAATTTATTGGAGAGCTATTTAAATTAAAGTTGCTATCAGAAGACTCCATGAAAGACTGTCTTCTTAAGCTACTGAAGAAGAACAACGAGGAGTCCATGGAGTGCATCTGCCAATTGTTGATATCAGTTGGAAAATACCTTGAAGATGGACACTCTGGCATGGACAGTTATATTAACAAGATTAATATCTTTATTAAAAGCAAGACAACATCATCTAGGATTAGGTTTTTGGTGCAGGATGTGCTGGATCTGAGGAGAAACAAATGGGTACCGCGACACAAACCCGAGGGGCCAAAAACAATTGATCAAATTCATAAAGAGGCAGAACAGGAATCAAGAAAAAAAAGTGCAGTGAACTAAAAAAAGAAAAAAACCTTCCATAGACACATGGATATACACAATATATGCACAAACATAAGCCTGCATATTGATTTACACAAATACATTAAAAAACATTCAGGCAGTGACACCAACTTCTATGCACAAAGCAACACAGACAGAGACAAATGCATATTCATGCACAAGCACAAACATTTATTCAAAGACAAATTCAGACAATCATGCAAAGACAAACATATTCACATACAATCACACACTTCCTAATGGCAGCTTTAACACCTGAGCCAACAAAATATTTATTCAGATAAAAAGGCACACACCTGATATGAAATTAATACATTAATTGTGGCATAAAAACTTGATCTAGAATTGCACTCATAAGTTTCATCATTGCAACAACAAAAAAACACCACACTGAAACTCACATTAACAACAAGCATGGTTCACTGGCCTGGAGGATTCACACGTGACATTCCAGAACCACCATTGTTAACCTACTTACATATATTTTATATATTCTTAATTTTATTACAACAATAAAATCTATTCTTAAAATTCACCCTTTCATACTGATGTTGGTTTGTTCTTTGGAGGTGTTTTATTGCCTGGGCCACTGAGAATCACCTGTGTTGTGAAATTATTATCAGCGCAACTTGCCCCACGTATACTTGGAGTAGCAATGAAAATCATAAATGCTTCAATCGAAATACCCTTAAAGGAACACTATATGGTCAGGAACATCAACATTTATTCCTGACCCTAAGGTGTTAAAACCACCATATAGCCCCCCTTAAATATAGCAAAATCTTACCCTTATTGCAGTCTGCTGCTGCTGGCTCTGCCCCGATCTGCCTGCTTGGTTGGCATCTTTAGAAGTGTTGCTCTGAGCCAATCACAATGCTTTCTCATAGGATTGGCTGAGCTTGTCAGGAGGCAGATCAGGGGCAGAGCCAGCACAAGCCAAACACAGCGCTGGCCAATCAGCATCTCCTAGAGATACACTGAAAAATGCATCACTATGTGGAAGGTTCAGTGTCTCCGTGCAGAGGGTGGAGACACTGAATGGCACTGATGCACACTGTGCAGCACTGCCACAGGAAGCACCTCTAGTAGCCATCTGAGTAGTGGCCAGTGGAGGTATCCTTAGGCTGTAATGTAAACACTAGATTTGCTGCAAAAAGCCTGAAGAGAATGATTATACTCAACAGAGCAAATGCAATAGGCTGTAGTTTTTCTGTTGACTATAGTGTCCCTTTAAGTTATGTACAAAGCTATTACTGTACTTCCCTAAAGAATATCTGAAAACATTTATGTTTATTGCTACTCTAGTCCAACCTTAATATGCTATTTGCACTTATAGCTATTTGTCCTTGTGTCATACTGTTAACTGCAATGCAAGACACAAACATTGCTATTGCTAATAACTATATTTGGCAGCATAGGGGCAATTGTATTTATCATATTTACCACATTCACCTACTCTATTTTTCATTTTCAATTGACGTGTCAATGATTTCAATAACTTTTTGAAAGGTATATTGCAAGGACTGAATTAGCATTTTAAAGCTGAGGGTACTATATGTAGGGCCAGCCCGTCCATATGTTCCGGTGGTACCATGGCTCCAGGCGGCTCTCTGAATACACACACACATACTGCTGAATGGACACACACATAGACTGCTGAACACACACACAGACTGCTACATAAACACAGACTGCTGAATACACACACAAAGAGACTGCTGAATACACACACAAAGAGACTGCTGAATACACAAGCAGGGAGACTGCTGAATACACACACAAAGACTGCACACACATACACACACACTGCTGAATACACACACATTGCTGAATACTCACACACTCTCCTGAATACACACATAGACCATTTAACTGATACAGATTGGGAGTTGCTGCAGCACTTGCTGGGACATACTAAACAAAATATTGGGATGACGGGATGATTACCGGGTATGTGTGTGACACCTAATGAAAGTACTGAGCTTTGCAGCCAATCATTCCATCATCCCAATATTTTGTTCAGTACCGGTATGTCCCCACTTGCTCTGTGTATCACCTCCCACTACTCATGTGCAGATTCTATCCGTCGAGAAGCCAGGGACATGCTATGACTTGCTATCCCCTACACGCTCCACAAACCTCATACCTCACGCACCAACAAGTCTTCCTTGCTCGGCCTGAGAACACGCACCCTAGTGTACGGTGCCGGTATTGCAGAAAATTCTCCTGTCAGAAAAATATCAGCATTTGCATTGTCGGTATTTTTGCAATACCAACACTGGCTACACAACCTCAAATACCGGCTGTGCTGCTAAATAAAGGCCAGGTGGCAACCCTGTACACATGGAGGGCTGGAAGGGAGGGCTAGTGGGAAACATGGAGGGCTGGGGGGATATATGGAAGGAGGGAGGGCTAATAGGACACATGGAGGGCTGGGGGCTAATGGGACACTTTTGGGGCTACTGACACACATGGGAAACTGGAGAGGGTGGAATGAGACACATGGAGGGGTTGGAGAGTAAAAAGACGGAGGTGTGTGGGGAGAAAGAGACAGAGGGGTTGGGAAAGGGGAACAGGAGACACACACAGGGGAGCTGAGGAAGATGAATAAGAGACACACAGAGGGGCTGGAAAAGGGGAGAATGAGACACACAGAGGAGCTGTGTGGAAAAATACACATAGAGATGCTGGGGCCTGGGAAAGAGAGTGACAGAAGGGCTGGGGAAAGGCAGACAGAGACAATGGGGCTGGGGCAAAGAGACACATGAAAGGGGCTTGGGGAGAAAGACACAAACAAAATGCATCTTCACTTGTGTCTCCTGCTCTCCCTGTAAGTCAGAGTCGACCGGTGAGAGAAAGACATTTTATTAAATTGACACTATAGTCACCAGAACTACTACAGTTTAATGTAGTGGTTCTGGTGTCAATAGCTTGTCCCTGTAAGCTGAGCACTGTAAATGCTACCTTTTCAGAGAAAAGCCTTGGGACATCTCTAGTGACAGTCACTCAGACGGCCACTAGAGCTGCTTCCTAATCCAATACGCTGATCGCTCCCCATAGAGATGCATTGATGCAATGCATCTCTATGAGGAGATGCTGATTGGTGCGGTGAAGCGCAGCGTTTTGTCACACATGTGCAATAGCCCCCCAGTGCTTTCCTATGGGAATTGAATTGGTATTGACTGAAATGTATCCAGTTGTAAGCCAAAGTGAAAAGTACACTCTTATTACTTCAAAATGAGCAAGATAAAATTATATATTTTTTTACTGCTGTGCAATAGAATAGATTCACAATTTCAGTCCAAATGACCAAACATTTCTCAATATATCAAGAAAATGGACTGAAACATTGCTTATATGCAAATGCACGTCTGCTTACAATAAATCCACTCCTTTGTTTATTTTGAAGCCCTATGAGTGCTTTCTTTCACGTTTGAGTGCTAGTTTTCAGTTGTAAGGTTTTTTTTCCCGCTTCCATATCTGCACACTATGCTGGCGTGATGCATTATGAGGCTGGTATAGAATTTTTTTAGCCTGGGGGAAAATCCAGTGAAGTGTCCCATTGCACCAAGAGGAGAGTAAAAACACCTTTCCCTTGTATTTGAAAGGGGGGACAGTCACCTAAACAGACACACTCACTGACAGGCTGTTTAGGTGACTGTCACTTGCTGATGTGACACACACTAACAAACACACATTCACTGACAGGCACACAGGCATACTGGCTGACACACACACAAAGACAAACTGGCACACACACAGAGACATACTTGCACACACACACACAGACAGACATGATTTCAAGATCAGAGGCAGCATGTTAATAATAATTTATGATGGTGCAGTAGACATTGCCTACCTAGATTTCAGTAAGGCTTTTGACACTGTTGCACATAGAAGGCTTATCAATAAATTGCAATCTTTCAGTTTGGATTCCAATATTGTTGAATGGGTAAGGCAGGGGCTGAGTGACAGGCAACAGAGGGTTGTAGTCAATTAAGTATATTCAAAGCTTGGGCTTGTCACCAGTGGGGTACCTCAGGGATCTATACTTGGACCCATTCTCTTTGATATTTTTATTAGTGATATTGCAGGAGGTCTTGATGGTAAGGTATGTCTTTTTGTTGATGATACTAAGATATATAACAGGGTTGATGTTGCAGGAGGGATAAGCCAAATGGCATATGATTTAGGTAAACTAGAAAAATGATCAGAGTTGTGGCAACTGACATTTAATGTGGATAAGTGCAAGATAATGCATCTTGGACGTAAAAGCCCAAGGGCATAGTACAGAATAGTTGATAGAATCCTAACCTCAACATCTGAGGAAAGGGATTTAGGGGTGATTATTTCTGAAATGGTGCCAGTGTTAAGACAAGATGGCTGCTCTTGCTAAAGTATAGTGTGATAAAATGTTGTTTGTCTGTAACATTGGACATATGACAAGGTTATACCTCCAGATTATTAAACAGTTTAAAAGGGGGTATGATTAGTAAGGTATGATTAATAAAAAGTTTAGAAAATTAAAATGTTCAGAAAGATTTTGATATAAAGGAAATTTAAAGATTATACATCACATGGCATATATGCAATGAACACTAGATGGTAGATCTCATTAGAAGAAATGAGAATGTTTTGTGTAGTCAATGTAATTCAATGTTAAGCTGTATAATAATACAATTGAGTAGTAAATGATGTAAGCCATTGTATTGATGCTGCATATGTTTTTTGTTTTAATGTAGGTAAAGCGTGACAGATCCTTGTGGCAATAAATTAGGAAAGCATTCCTTCAGACAACTGGACTTCGACTGTTGGAAAGAGACTTTTCATCTGATCTGCAAACTGTGATTGAAGATTCTACAGAGTTAATTTGATACAGAAGATTAACAGACTTAAAAAGAAATAAAAGATTGACACTAACATACATATTAATTCCTAAATATTAACGAAGAAGAAAAGAGACAATGAAAAGTGATTTAACAGTTATGAGTATTACT